AATTAAAAACTACGACTTTAAGCGTATTAAAAAATTATCTAAATTGGAATTATGTTTCTCGTTATTGAATACTTGGTTATTGAATACTCGAATATTGGAATTATGTTTCTCGTTATTGAATACTTGAATATTGACTACCAATGGCAATGCGATACCTGAGAGTTCGGTCGTGGGTTCGTGCCTCGTCCGGACAAGCTGGCCAAGTAGAGCTTTCCGGGTTTTCTCTACCTCCGTAACTCCCGAATAGAAGCCATTTACCCTTAAAAGACTTCTTGGAACACCAAGAAGGCATCCACCAAGCCAAGTGTTTCAATGCCGTAAGTTAACAAAATAAGCAAACAAACATAGGTAATCGTTGGGAAATAGGTAAACAGTGTCTTTAGATAAAAAGTTTATTATTGTATTCAAATTTTACAAATGTCGGTTCAATCAAGTATATACAAATTGTAGCTCATTTTAGACATCGCTGATGGTTCAAGTTGATTTACAAACAAAAGTATTTTATAATGTTTAAGTAAATATTTACCTACGTATATAAATTGAAATTTAAACTGTAGACATGTATTGATTTTGAAAATATATAATAGTATAAAATTAACAATTATATTATTATTAACAATTAACGTAATTAACAATATTTTTTGATTGTTTAGCAAATTACAGGAGAAGGTACATCGAAAACTTTTAAAATTTCGGAACAGAGTGAGATGCACTCTTCTTCTGAAATCTCAGCAGCGAGTTCGATGCGAGAGGAACATCTTAAAACATACGAGAAAGATAAAACTTTGCAATTTTCTCAAAAATTATTTCAATGTCATCAATGTCGCTTTACTACAAACTCCGGGAAACAATGGTTCCTACATAAACAGACACACGTCGATGAAGCCCATTGCACATCAAAGGTATTTAATTGTCGTATTCTGTTTAAAAGTTTTAGTAATTTGTAAATAAACATTCAGTTTAACTTAGGAAAAGACACCAGCACCCCAGCCCTTCTATACTATAATTTACTCGCTCACTGAAGTTGGTTCGCGAGTAAATTATAGTATAGGAAAGCAAACTTGTAGTTTATAAAGTCGAGTTTGTCACAATTTTATGAATGAAATACATTGAAATATACTTATTGTATATGCAATAAATAACTAACAAAACTAATGGTTGTAAAAGTAGAGCTCAGCAGAAATATCTAAATAAAGGAAAAATTTAAAAGTTCCTGCATAAGAATAGTGACAGCATCAGTTAAGAATCATCGGTTAAAGGATAAGAATAGTTCACGACTTGACAGTAAGAATGTTGATGTCACTATATTTCGTATTACATAGACTACAACTACAGCAAGGTTTGGAGGAAACAGTCACCGTGATAATAAATCGGATAAATAAACATCGACACAAAAAAAGCTTCGAGTTTTACTTTGGTCGTTGCTCTACATTCATTTCTTTGAACGTTAAAACACGTTTGAGCAGTGTCAGCGAAGGAAGTTTGAGGCACGAAGTAAAGCTGGAAGCTTATTTCTCTGACGATGCTCATTTTTCCGATTTATTTTCATGACGACCGCTTTCTCTGAAACTTCCTGTAGTTGTAATGTCTGTGTAATGTGAACTTTATTCACGTGTTGAGTTTTAGTGTCAAATCTTCCTGCACTATTCTTACGCAAGAACTTTTAAAAGTTTTTTTTTTTGTTATGATATTTAGTCGAGATTTACGTATTCAACCTGGTTTCAGCAGTTTTTAAATGAGATTTCAAGTATTTTTCGGCTACAGATAACTTTATAAAATAATCGTTTATAACTTATGAGACATTCATAACTGGTGATATATTCTTGCGACAGTCACGCCTAGTGTGCAGATTTGCGTGTCTCCCAGGAAATAAGGGTGAAAAATCTTGTGTAGATCGAAGAAAGGCATTAAAAGTTAATAAAGAGTGTTAAATCAGTTTTTATGCAGCTATTCGTGGTAGTCTATATTTACTCCGGACTCCAAGGAAATAAGTATGAAAACTTTGGCGTAGATCGAGTAAAGGATTTAGGAATTAATAAGGGAAAAAATCAGGGGAAAAGCTGGTGCGGGGGTTTACGCCGTAGTCATAAAACCTTCAAAAAGACTACAAAAGAGGTGGAGAAATCTCGAAAGAACTATTAAGCATACACAGACTCTTTCTATATTTTCCGGTAGTTTGGTGTGAGCAAAATTTCCCTCGTCGTAAATCTAGTGGAAAAAGTGCTAAATTTGCGTTTGTATAGATCCAGAACGATCTAACGAACTTATTCAAAATTTAAGGTAATCGCAGTTCTCACCGCGAATATTAAATTTTTTATATTACATTCGATTCGGTTCGTTGGTCTCGGAGATATTAATGGTCAAATTTGGTACTTTAACATTAGAACTGTGGCTGAGCTCTGGTACACCGAGGTTATAAATATTACACAATCAAATGAGAAATCATTAGCGATGATATTCAGTTACTGTTAACTATAAATTAGATTTGTGACAGAAGAAGTGTTGAGTACCATTTGTGAATGATAAATTGAATTCTGTTTACATTTCATAATTGAAATTCATTGGAAAGAAAGTTTTTCATTTTCTTTTGTATAAAAATAATTTATATATTGATTATTGCAGGAACAGAAAGAAACAGATGCAGAAGTGGTCAGAGCATCCGAAATCATCTTGGACATGATAAAGAAAAGACTGGAGACGATAAAAGATAAAAAGAAAAGTCCTGATCCCCATACACCGCCAAGTTCACAATAACATGCGAATATCTTGTTTTGAAAAAAACACAATAAATCCTTTTTGCTTTTTTTTTCAAAATTGCAAAAAGAGATTTTCAAACTGGAACACTTTTATGCGAAATTCATACGATTGGCTTCTAAATTTTAACTTTTGAAGAATTAAACTAGTTTCTTGACAGGGTGTTTATTGTCTTACATTTGTAATTGTTAATAATTGTAATTAAATGTGTATTAAACAATTAATTACTTTCTCGGCTCTGTTATATACATAACAGAGGAAAAGTATGGCGATAAGTCAAAAAATGATTCTAGGATTTATACATTTTTGGACTGTGGACACCTTGTAACGTCGAGAAATGGAAAGAAATTTCGGGGTAATTTGTGTATGAATAGATGTTATTGTGTATGTGTGTGTGTCTGTGTGTGGCACTATTTTGTTCACCCTGTTTCAAACTTAATAAGTCGTGTGCTTTTTGTCGAAAATTTCCGTAATTTTGCAGGGTAATTTGTGTATTAGAAAAGTTAATGCTATTAAATTTTGTTGGTTATATGACTAGGGATGGAAAGATGAACGAGAATTCGGTCATATCTCTAGAAGGCCCGGATACAATGACTATTTTTCTCGTTATTAGCATATACAACATTTTTATAAAATCCATCAGCACCATCGAAACTTTCTGGACAGAATTTAAATCGGTACTTCTGTTATGATATTTAAAAAAAAAATATTGTTATAGTTTTAATTATTATAAAATGGCAAAAAGTTGAATTTTAAAAGTAGACAGTAATTTTATAACAAATTGTAAATACCGATGACGAGTAAAATTCTCAATAAGTCTGACCATATTCCGGTGACGAAACATGAACCCTCCTTTATCTTACCACTCCTCGACCTCTAACTAACAAAAGTAAATACAATAATCCCCCAAAACAGAAACTTCGCTGTGAAATTTTAGGAATTTTCGGCAAAAAGTATCAAATTCATTAAACTTCAAATAGCTTGAACAGAATCGTTTCACACACAAACAACTATATTTATTGAAAGAAAACTAATTTTTTCTGTACTTTATTTTAAGTTACCGAAAGTCTAAATATGGGGCAAACATTTTTTACCATTCGACAAACTTTTCTCTGTTATATATAACAGCCGGAAAAGAAACAGAATAAGAAATGAAATCTAGAGAAAAAGTATTTATTCTCTCCTTATAAAATCTAGTGAATCTTTGGAGATGTTCTATTCTTCTGTTAGTATTCGTTTCGTTATAGTAGGAATGTAGCGCGTGATCTGAATAGGCGATAAAACATTTCCTAAATTTGCTAAAAGTTTCTGATTATTTCGAGGACACGTACAGTGAATCATTTAAATGAAGAACCAGAAGCGTGTTTTCTTTAAAAAAATGAGTAAGGAAAATAATAAAAGTCTACTAAATATAAGAGAATTAGATATTCAGCTTTAAATTGAAGAACAAAGTTTTTAACTGCTCAAGAAAGTATTCGACTTCACGAAAAAAAACAATACAAATTATTATTACAGCAGTATACCAGTATGTCGGAATCGTTGTTTAATTGATAAATAATATGAAAGATACACAACTTATGATTTAATACAATTATTACATTCAATTCATAATGTTTAACGTTCAGGTGTAAAGAAAGCATCCACATCAAAAAGATTTTCTTCCAATATTAAAATTTGGAAATGACACTAGTACATTGAACAAATATTCGTTAATGAAAGCAAACAGGGGAAACCTTCACCTATTAAAAAGGACGACGATGACAGTGTGATCTTAACAATAATAGAGGTTAGGAAACCACCAATCTCTAAAGTTCAATTTTCAGTAAGACAAAAAGAGAACCATTTTTTCATGAAAATTGGCTGAAAGAACTTAGACAGTCAATAAAAAGGCGAAATTAAAAAGAGAAGAAAAAGATACCATATCAAGAAGAATTAACGCGATCAATTCGAGAGAAGAGGGAAGCAAAGTATGCAATTGCAAAGGAAAAGATAAAAGAAATTTTTAAGAGAAAAGGACCAGCAGTTTTACATGAAAAACCTCTTGAAGATAAAATCAGTTAAATGGTTTTCCAGAATTTACTTCTGAAATGGATGTGGAAGTTGATGATGCTTTAAGGCCAAATTCTCCGGATGAAGTTTTAGCCGAAGGATTTCGTCTGTCCGTTGCACGCAGACATACGAAGACACTGGCGAGACTTAATTGACTTAATGATCTACATGAATTTTCTTATGGAAAGAAGCAAATTGGATAATTTTCCAACTGTATATGCCTTTAATACATTCTTCTATACCGAATTGTTAAACAGTGGTCACAGTGCAATGAAAAGAAGGGCGAGAGATTTCTGAATATGACACGCCGCTTATGCCCGTTCAAATGGGAATGCACCGGTGTTTAGCTGTTATTGACTACCGACATATAAAAATTCAGTATTATGGTTCTATGGGTGGGCGAAATAACGAGTGTTTAAATGCGCTATGAACATATTTACAAGATGAGATGAATGAATAAAAAAAATAAGAATTCGATACGAGTGGATGGGCACTAGAAACAGTAAAAATAAATATACCCCATCAAATGAGTGGAAGCGATTGTGGAATTGAAATATGAAGAGTATTGAAATATGCAGAGTATATAACGAAAGATGCAAGAATTAATTTTACACAGGATCATACGCCTTATTTTCGCTGGCAAATGGCTTACGAAATTTTGAAGACACAGTTATTGTGACGAACGTCAAATCTACGATGGTCCATACATGAAATTATCTTGTCATTCGCAAAATAAAAACATAATCCCACCTCCACGAGGTAAATACATAAAATCTTCATTTCCCTAACTTTTCCTTTTAATTTCCTTGCATAGAATTTATAATTTGTGATATTCAATTAATGATTACCATCTTATATATTGAATATTCACTGGTTATTGTGAACCTGGTTCCATCAGATTCGATAATCTAGGGATATGTATAAATCCAAGATGTCTAGAATCGTATATCGTGTACTCCTGTCTACTAAAATAAATTTGTTATTGTTTATTAATTCGGAACTCGAGTGAATTGCTTCGTCATTTCTCTCTCCTCACCTCTACTCCGAATCCAACCGCTCACCCGCTACCGCTGGCGTGACGTAAAGTCGCGATTTCCGAGTCCCCAGAGACTCGGTGGTGTCACATTTTGACCCGGTGTCAAAGAGACACCGACCCTACGGTCACACATATATAAAAATGCCTACAAATGCGATAGAACATAATATTACTAAATATCTATACTATATGTATCTATTCTAAATATATATTAAAAGCAAAATATTTGGTCACTGCCAAAGGAAATGGAAATAATCACTTTACAAAAGCAGAGTTGTTCAACTTTCTGAGCAACATTCAGTAGTTCAATCTGTTATAAAATGTTGATAAAAAAAAGGAAAGCCCGGAATATTACTGATATAAACACCATCGTACGTGTGTGTGTGTGTGAATTTTTTGTAACTCGTGCAGTTTTTGTTTAATCCGGATGAAATTTTGGTTTTATTCGTTCTATATTCTAACAGAAAGCATAGACTAGTTATTTTATCTAAATATTAACTCTAAAATAAACCTTTTATTGATTTCGTATCGGTCATCGTACATATGTCGTAGTGACCTTGGTGACTTTATTTGGTTCATTTTTAAATATTTTGGCACATGTCGTATTTTAAATTTACTTCGTGAATAAACAGTATTAAAGTGTTTATTATTAAAGAAAGACAACACGAAAATCTTTCAAATTACAATATAATATTTACTCAGAATATAAAAAAATTGTAATATCTAAATATATAAAATTGCTTGTCCAGAGGAAACCGCTGAACTTAAAAAGGTGAAATTTGGTACACAGTTAAAGTATGTGATGAAAACGCACACGAAGAAGGAATTTTTCGAAATTCCCCCGCGGGGGGAGAGGGAGAGGGTTAAGTCTTAACAAAAGAACGGTTTCTACTGTACTATTTTAGATACGATTTTCTGATTTAAACTACATTTAGTCTTCATTGAGTATATTGGTGACTCGCTCGTACAGCTGGTGGGCACACAATAAAACTAAACTTTGGCGTCAAGCCGAAGCTATCGGGAATGTCATTCCCCAGGATTACATTTAGAACCTGTATGATTCAATGCAATGGCGTGTACAGGCTTTCGTCACTCAGCGTGGCGGACACACATAGTACTGATTTCCGACGTTCTTTTTGTTTTTTTGTCTTGTAAATTTGATCATTTATTTGTTTCACTATCAGTAATATGTGGAATAAATTTCATTAATTTTTGACAATTCCTTCATGGTGTTGCAATTTTCACAAATATGGGTGTATTAATGTTACAACATCCAGATAGATAGAAATTGTTCAGGTTTAACAATTGTTGTAACATTTTGTATTTTTCAGCATTGAAAGACACATAATTCAAAAATACGTAAGGCCTTTTATAGTTCAAATCATTTTAGTAATGACTCTTACCATTCACTCGAGTTGCGACAATTTCTGGTTTGAAAAAACGACAAATTTTGCAATTGTTGTTAAAATGTAGTTATTAACATTGCATTGTTAAATAAAATAACGTTCATTTAACGAGAGTCTGATAAATGATCTGAGACTTATCTAAGCAATAATATACAAGATGAATTGATAAATTTGAGTGTACAGTACACAATAGAATACTGTAATCGAAAAATATCCAAGGGCGTTTTATGTGCCCTGCGCGTTTCATTCTTTATGCCTAGTTGCGAATGACGCGGGTCTTCTTCTACAGAAACAATAACTTTCTTCTATTGTACAAGAACTTCACACTTTTTTTGTGGTTCTACAAAGCGTTGGGAAGTGCTAAAAAATATATATTTAACAATTAACTCTAAAACCATTGAGCGCTACTCAATGGGTGGTCAAGCGGAGATTTGAACTTTGCGAAATCTATGATGCTTTATTCCAAATAATAGAAGACGTCAACGGAGATGCATAAACTAAAGTTAAAGCGAGAGAATTAGCAAAAAATATTAAAAATTACAAGTTTATATGCGGTGTAATTCTTTGGCACGTTATTTTATTTGAAATAAATTTAGTCTCGAAGCTATTGCAATCTGTAACTATAAATTTGTCAGAGTGTGTAAGGATGCTATCAGAAACCATAC